GAACTCACTGATTTGCTTAACAGGAGTCTGGCTAAAGGATGTTTGGGAACGACGTTTAACAGCCGGTGCTGAAACACTACAACAATAGGACGCACTAAATGCATCCGTTTTTGTTGTCATTCTTTACGACGTTTATCATGACCGATTAAAAACTGTAACGCTGAAGGCAATGCAAAACAGGCGTAGTAGCCCGACTGAGGAGTTTGTCGGATTTCTATACGCAAAATATAACTATTTTGAACTGCTTGATCAGGAACAGGCTATGCTTCTGTAGGACTTGTTCTCGACAAACCGAAGCCCAGGAACTTCAAAATAATTTATCAACTCAAGAGTCCTGTAGTTTATCCGCAACACTTACCGCGACACATCTCAAGAAAAGGTACTCCATTTCCAAAAGAGATATCAGGAAGATCCATACCCATCCCAGCACTTGTAATATGTCTAAGCACACTTGTCCTTCGTATGCCGCATCGTACACTTTGGCATGCAGGGATGCTGCATTATTTGCAGTGGCAGGACTGGGTCAGAAGTACTAAAAATTATATTTGGTAAGCTGTTTGACAGGCCTTTTATCGTCGATCGCGCGTGCTGCTTAAACGACAAAATAAGCTGGATTCCATCAGCCAGACACCCAAGGCTCTAACGGTTGTTACAGAGGTAACGCTGAGAACGAGTGTATTCGAGTGAAACTCACGACGTGAGATCCCTTTGAGACTTTGCCATCGGTATCTTCCATAGACTTGGAGTTCTTCGGGTTCGTAGCGTGCGCCTATTACGTCAGATATGGTAATACCAGCTATGAAAGCATTATTCTGCATTCTGAGTGGCAGCAGATGCTTTAATTATGCTTTACTGGCAGCAGGATGTGGCTGAGGAAAGTGCCGACGTAGAGAGGGGAGGGAGTTGCGACGAGTTGCGGGAAGGGAGGCGGCGGTAGGGAAGGAAGTGCACCGGCCATTTCCACTGATACGGAGTTACATAATCACCTTCCAGATCTTCACCGACACAGCGTCTTCTACATCCAGCAAACATTGCACAGTTCGTTGGGCGTTACAGTTACTCATGTACATAAAAAACCATAAGTACAGCCAATGCTGTGGGCACAGTAAAAGATAATTTTGGTTGAAATAATTATTTTATCGAAATATCTGATGTTTGTACTTTTTATAGAGCATCTGGTCCCGATACCACTCCGTATGTACAAGAGGGAGACTGCATTTTAGGGGGGGGAGAAGCTATGTGTCATAGAAGCCATGGGGTTGCATAACTAAAGATAATCGGAAACCTTTGGAGAAATCTTTCAAGCATTGGCTGATGGCGTCTCCCTTGTAGTATATGATCAGCCATCGTTTCAAGTAAATCCAATATAGGACTAAGTAATGACTAGGTAACTGTGAAAAATTAAAATCATTGATCTGCTGATCATCTACTTCCGACTTTAAAAATATCTAGAGATGAAATAAAAGTCGATTGTGACGTTCTAGACTGCTAAACTGAAAAAATTCACCCTAGGTAAGGCATTTTAAGCGTTTATTTCTTTTAAAAAATTCTGCTTGTCAGCTGAGATGAGATTGCCTTAAGTGATACTCCAGTTTGTAAATAAATGATGATTCATACTGTAACAGTTAACTTGAGGGCAGGTAGAGTTAGCTTTCATGTTCGTTTTGCAGATGAGACCGCTTTCATCGGACCTCAGATCAGCAATCCTTCTTAATTTCCTATACTGCCTATTAGTTGGGCAGATGAAACAACTAAAGTAAATCCGATTCATCCAGTATATTAATTTGCAAGAATCTGCAAAGAATGTTGCATTCGATTTATTGGTCCTACTTCTAGTATGATAAAACAACGAATGATATATCTACTACAAGAAAAAGCATGTGCTGTACAGGCGTTCTTATTGTTCCCGAATCTCATGGTCTCTTGGTATCAGAAGAAAAGTAAGTCATGCTTTCGTTTTAATAAATACGGTGTCCCATATCGCTTAAAGAAACATCAAAACCAGGGGAAAAACTACTAAATTTGTTCAAAAACCGGAATTATTTCAAAAGGAACGGGAAGAAACTAGGCAGGAAGAGTAGTCGCTTTAAATAATGGAAACATTTATTTGGAAAAATTTGTAAAGGAACTACATAATATTGAAATCCAAATCGCTCTTGCCCACTTTGACAAATTTGTTCAGTCGTCTGGGCGAAAATGTTGAATTTCACGTAGAAAAAAAACAAAAGTTTGTAAAACGGTCACCTTCGACTTTAACTACTTTACTGACAATTGAGTCTGGGACACCGTCCATTCCCGAGGATTAAGAGTTGTTACAATTGCATACCATCCCCAGAACCAGACCGCCGATCTCGATGGATATTTCCTAATGCAACTGAACAAGACCTGCTTGAAGAAGGATGCCCCTATAGTTGTGGACTTTAACGCTTCCAATATCGACTGGCGAGTGTATACTTTTTGGCTCCACCGAATACATTGGGTCATCATTGGCTCGAAATGGCAGTGGGGAGACCACTTTTTCAGGATGTAATTCTCGGAACACTCGTCAAAGTGGGACAACTTTTAAATTGCGTTGACTGGTAGCTCAGTATCGATGAAGAAATTAAGCTGGCTCTACAAGATCTCTGACCAATAACTGACAATGATCATGTTGTAATACTCTTCGAATATCCCATGTTCACCCAACCTGACTTCCCTTAACAACTGAAAAAACATCTGGGAAAAGATTGTTTCCAGTGTATGAACGCAAATCTAAACAATACCGTAGACAACTACGTTACGATGAAGAGTTGGCCAATACTGGAGTATGTTCAGTTGGTTAAAAAGATAATTTATGTAAATTGTCCCCTCAGACGAAAGAAAACAAGCAGTCGTCCGCTGTGGATAAACCGGGAACTTCAAGTAACCTTTAAGAATAGAGATAAAATGTGTGTGCTTTTTCGACCAACGGGGAGTTCCGAAAAATTTTTGAAATACAAAAGACAGCAAGGTGTATGCAAACTTGTAGTTGACTGACTTCAAAGGAACCACGAGCTAAACATATTTCAGAACTGCTTTTAGCATCTTAAGTTCCTCTACTTTTATTCACGTTATGACAAAAGAAATAGTGGCTTAATTCTAGGGCTGAGGTCCCAGAACAGAAAAATTAAGACATATGGCCAGACGGATACATAGGTCCTCCTTAGCTTCTTTCAGTTAGTATTCGCTCATGAAACGAATACCCCTCCCCCTCTCCTGCTTACTCGGGGCGACAACAAAATTTTGCATCATTTGCGATAGGATATAGCCTCTGCTTTTCGCCTACACTGATAAAGCGAGGACCACTCCGGCTGAAGCCTGCCAAGTCATCTGGTGCAGACAGAATTTATTCACTTGACCCTCGAGAATTAGCCGACATGTTGTGTGAACCGGTATCTCTGACATTCTAAAAGTCTGCAGAAGAAGGCGACCTGGCAGAGGAATGGAAAACTGCATTTCTTTTCCCGACCTACAAAGAAGGGTCCAGACCCGAGTTTGAAAACTGCCGCATCCGCAAGCGTTTTAAATTAGATTTCGGATTTTCATTCTCCGAGGGATTTACATTCTTCGGGATTTCGGCCGTCGGACGCTCCTGCAGTTGATCGGAAATAGAAAATGGATTTAAAATAGCAGTATTATCGTCCTCTAACGTCAACAACACGGCTTTTGCAGAACGCAGACGTCGGATACTGCCAGTTTCTACAAACGAGCCCAGGGCCAGCGACCTTCTGGCAAACGATACGCTTGGAACACCTTCCACCGAGGCTTAATCGTACTTCGAAACGTAGATTTTAGTTGTACCATTGTATCAAAACACTCGCTTAGATATCTGGTGTCTGCAGTCTCGTAGCATTCGCCTGAATTTCTGTTGTCTGGAGTTTCCTAAACATCTGAACTTCTAAGAATTTCTTTAAACTGTGTCTGCCTGCGGTTGCCAAACATTTGGAAAATATCGTGCTTTGAACTACAACACATGGAGACATGGGAGATATAGACGTTTACAATCCAATCATCCGCGGGGCGTTGGTCGATGGCCTAACTCCCAACTAGTAAGGTGAGCACCTAACCCCTAGACCATCGCCACTGATAAGCGTCCTCCAGGGAATATTATGTGTATTAACGCACACCTATCGGATAGGTCGGATTTGACAAGAAACATAGTGAATTTGGAACTACGTGCTGACCAGTGGTAATTTGTTTCTGATAATAAGGACCTTTTAGATGCAAAATGGCAAAAGCAGTTCACAACGGGACCGAGACGCCCCCCGACACAAAATATCCCGGTGAATTCGCTTTAGCTGCACAGGATTTTGACTAGATTCTGACGCTATGAATTGTTTTACACGATGTAAGTATTGAAGAAATGTCACGTTAAGCAATATATCGTTGAAAACGAATATGGACCTCCTCGTAGACTACGTTGCATTGTTGTTAAAGAAAGGTTAAAATCATGCCAATTGCTGAAATCAGTAGCACTCACCAGACCCTTCGAATATAACAGAGTTGACTAAGGATTACTCACTTAAAGAAGGTTCAGGTAAGCCAAGTACGCCATTTGATGACTTTCGGCCAATGAACACCCTCCCCGCAGTTTCCAAGATCCTAGAGACATTGAAAAAATATAAGATGACGTGTCGTTTAAGAGAGAATAACCTACCGGTCACTGCGCAGCATGATTCCTAAAACTCGGTCTTGTGACACCTGTTAGCTCTCTATCTCTGGCCATGCTCGCCAATCTAGGGACAATGGTTTTGCACTTTACACAGACTATTTCGATTTCACCAAGGCTTTTGATCGTTTTGACTATTTCAGTTCAGTTCAGTTCAGTTTATTGAGGGAAATAGGCGTAAGCCTTTGAGTACCCTATTTGCAACGTAAAAAATGTGTGGTGTACAGATAGATGTTCTGGGCTGAAATAGTTCGAACACGCCCATAATGGTGGGACAAAATAAGAAGGAGTTACAGGGGGTGAGCTCGACTTCTCATCGCTCTTGGTCATTTCGGAACATAAATATGTCCAGATTCTTCTTAAAACTTTCTATAGATGGTGACATCACAACATCTGCGGGAAGCTCATTCCACGGTTTGACCACCCGAACCGAGAAGGAGAACTTCCGCACATCCAGCCGTGCCTGCTGAGTGCGCTGTTTTAACGGGTGACCTCGGAGGTTGGTCGTGGTAGCAAATTCAAAAAAGTCCTCGAAGGCCAGACTGCAATCCAACCCCTTTACAATGCGGAAGGCTTGCAAGAGATCTGCGCGAAGTTGCCTGTAACTCAAAGGAAAGAGGTTCAGATTTACTAGGCGGGTCGCATAAGGAAAGGAGCTTTGACCCCTGACCATCTTCGTGGCTCTCCTCTGGACTCTTTCGAGGCAGTTTTGATCCACAACACCCCACGGCCTCCAAGCTTGTATGCCGTCGTCAAAGTCCATAAACGCACGCTTGATGGCGTACAGTACGGACATTGCGGTTTTTGCCACCCTCGAACAGTGGGCGGATGGTTTTAGGGAACTCGTCGTAAGCACACCGAGGTCCTTTTGGGCTTCGACCTCTTGTAGGGCTGCACCGCCCAGAAAGTAGCGTCTTGTGCTGGCGGATCTGGCTGTGTTGCCTAGGCGAAGTATGCTACATTTGGTAACGTTGAACCGCAGGAGCCAACGGTTTGACCACTCCTCCAACCGATTCAGGTTCATCTGCAGTCTGTCTTCATCGGCAGGACCACGAATTACACTCCATATCTTCATGTCGTCCGCAAACATTGCTACTTCACAGTCCAAATCTCTTGCGGCATCGTCCACGTAGATAAGGAACAAAATGGGTCCCAGTACTGAACCCTGGGGGACACCACTTTCGACCATAGCCGGATCTGATTTTCCCCGACCGACGCACACAACCTGNTGTCGACCCACAAGGAAGTTTTCGATCCATTTATGGAAGTTGCCACCGATCCCTATTTTTTTCAGCTTATGTAAGAGCCTTTGGTGTGGCACAGTGTCGAAAGCCTTCTGGAAGTCGATGAAGGCTATGTGGACCGCGTGCCTGTCGTCGAGAGCTTGGGTCCAGCTCTGGAGAGATTGCAGCAGGTTTGTCGTGCAGGATCTTCCTTTTCGGAACCCATGTTGGCATTTCGATAGCAGGCCGTGAACTTCCAGGAATTGCATTAGTTCACACTTTATGATCCTTTCCATAACTTTGCAGAGAATGCATGTCAAGCTTATGGGCCGTTAATTTGTCGTCGCTGCCCTGTTACCTCCTTTGTGTAGCGGAGTAATATGCGCCAGCTTCCAATCGACAGGAAGTGTTCCAGTGTCAAATGACGTTTGAAAGAGCATCGACAAAGGCACAGAGAGCTCACGGGCAAGTTCCTTCAGAAGCTTGGATGGAATCTCGTCTGGTCCTGGCGACTTCGATTCGTTCAATGCCTCTAATTCTCTTCGGACAATGCCTTCTGAGAAGAGTATATCACTGACGCTTGGAGTCGGCAGTTCTTCTGTGGAGGGAGGAAGGAACCTTGCCTCGTTTGTATAGACTGATTGGAAAAACCGTGAAAAATACGCAGCTTTATCCCTACTATCAGCGATCTAAACGCCATCAGTAGTCTTTATCAAGGGGATTTGATGCCTGTTCCTTGTAGTTCGTCGGAGGTAGCTGTAGAGCAATTTTGGGTTCTGCGTTGCTTTATGTAGCAAGTTCTTCTCGAATTCCCGTCGCGTCTGAATTATCAGCTTCCTCAGTTTGTTCCTCTGTGTCTTGTAGGTGTTGAAGCATTCAGCTTGTCTAGTGACGCAGTATTTTCTCCACAATTTGTGCTTCCTGTTGATTTCTTTTTTGAGGTTGCTATTTAGCCACCCAGGGCGTTTGTTCAGTCTTACAATTTGTGCTTCCTGTTGATTTCTTTTTTGAGGTTGCTATTTAGCCACCCAGGGCGTTTGTTCAGTCTTACACTAGTCAGTGGGCAGTGGTTGTTGATGAGCTGCAGAACGACATTCTTGAACAGCTCCCAGTCATCGTTGGCACTTCCCGTAAACAAAGAGCCCCAGTCAAGACCGGATAAGTCTGCCCTCATCTGATTGAAATCGCCCCGCCAAACATTACGCCTTTTGTGGCCTGGAGTGTGTGAAATGGAGAATAACGAATAATCCCACATAAGCACTACGTGGTCACTTCGGCCAAGGGGCGGCATGGAGGCTATCTCGTCTATGCTGTCTGGTGTTTTCGTAAAGACCAGATCCAGGCAGTTTGCCCTTTGTCCTTCACGTGTTCTCGTTGGGAACATTACATGTTGTGTGAGGCACGCATTTAATGTCTTGCTCAACAGGCGGTAATCAAATGCCGATTTTGGACCTGACGCTTGGAGGGTATTCCAGTATGTTCCTGGTGCGTTGAAGTCGCCCATGATCATAATGTTAGGTCGACTGGAAAATTTCTCCAACTGCTCCAATAGTTGAGTGTCGGCGATTCGGTCTGTCCGAGGTGGTCGGTAGACAGTGAGGACATCGAGACACGGGGAACCGGTAGCCTTGATGGTCAACCAGATAGCTTCCGTACTGCACACAAACTTGGTGGTGTTATCCGACACTGCCAGACCGTCATTCACATGCACAACGATACCACCACCCTGACGATGTTTCCTGTCCCTCCGATAAATTTGGTATCCAGGCAAGGCTACTTCGTTATCGCTAATAGTCCCGGACAGCCAGGTCTCAGTTACTGCTAAAACATCTGGAGACAGCTCAACAAGG